CATGGGTTAACCTCAATCCCGAAACAGATTTACCTGCTGTTTTTGTAGACCAAACCAGAGTGCCATGAACATCTTGCAGTGTTAAATCCCCTTCTTGAGAAAGTTGCAATTTTGCCCAAAGTCCAATTGGACTATTTCGATTAGCAGACCATACCATTTGCGGAGAAAAGCTGGAGTTGCCACCAAAACTGGATCGGAAGATGGATATCGCAAAGAGACAGGCGGTTCCTTCAAATTTGCAGTGGAATCCACAAACAAAACTACCATTGATCAAGATAGGTCTCACCCCTGCTGATTCCCAATAACTAAAGTCAGTTGGGACGACGTTAGTCTGGGAGAATGGAGGCTCCACAATTGATGGATAATCAAAAGCTTCACCATTTGTCAGAAGCAATGATGTTACAAAGAGAGATAGAAAGGTAGCAGGAAAGAAGAGCGTATTCCTTCGCCCAGCATCTACCATTTCTTTTATGGTTTATTGCTCTAATACTATATAATTGAGGGGTGATTGAGCAGCAAGACTAGCTAATTGAATTATGAAGTAATAAAATACAAAGAACAAAGCACTAGTATGATAATTTGTAGATTTTTTTTCCCTTAAATTGTAAACTTCGCTCACCATACAACGCCTTGCAACCTTCTAATTGCAAGTCAATGTAAGCTATTCCTCAACGTGCCAATTGGGCAGTCATTTTTAACCGGTTCTTTTCGTTAGAAAAACGAAGCTTAACAAATGTCGTCAACTACAAGGCACCAAGTCCATCCAAAGAGTCTCCTCTCAACATTATGCAATAATAGCGGTAAGAGGCTGAAGAGAGAATCATTCTCAACAACAAAGTTCCCATAGCCCAAGTCAGCAGCCTTTCGCAATGCCTAAATGGATTGCAAGGATCTTTCATACCATCAATCAGTACTCTGACCTTATGTCCCAACTCCATTTACGACCTATGTATACAACGTTATTAAAAGCTTAAACTCAAAATGATTAGTAGTTAATCATCTTGACAACCGTGAACTATTTACACTTTATCTCTCCTATATGTGAGAATGTAGTTTCAAAGTGGAGAGGGCCTCTTAGTGGAAAGACATATTGCTCGCTAATGTGGTGAATTTAAGGCATGTGGCTAGCTTCAAACTTCAAATAACAAATGCATACATGATGAAGTGTAAAGTCAATTCATAATTAAGATTGTATGGTCATTTTTTGCTTGAGGAATTCAGATTCCTTGGCCATAATATAAAAATAAAGCAAAATTGAGAAACTTACTTGACAAGTTTGAAATCAATAAACCTTAAGATTGATCATTTTCTACTAAATTAAGAAATAAATAAAAAATAGCATTCACATCTCTTCCCCTAAAAATGATTATTCCATAGGTCTTTCTTAATCTAAAACAAAATTATTAACCTTAACGACCCCAAAGGTATGTGTCTTGTCTTATAAGCATGTTCAAGAATGCCTTACTTTATGAGGGCGTTTTTTAGGCAAAACCATATAATCTGAAGTTGATAATACACTGTAACAGGATGCACGTACTGCAGATTCTAACAACATGTGCCTAAGCCGTCCTTAAAAGGTCAAATTAGGCTGCTGATATTGGGTTTACGGGTCCAACATTGCAGACCAAAGGCTGCCTAATGGATGAGAAGTTTATGGTCAACAAGAAAACACAAGTATAATCTAGCTTTAGCTCTGCACTTTGGGACCTTTGTACTATTTTTCCCCGTGAGAATTATGATCACAACTCAAAATGTCATCCACGTGAATTTGTACACTTCCAACACCCCACAACATGTTAAACACTTCCAACATCTCACAACATGTTAAACATATCCATATCTCAACTAATACTAGAAAGCTATAGGACAGAAATTTCCTTTTCTTTCTTTATTATATTGGAGGAAATTTTATGGAAAAAAAAAAAAAAAGAGGAAAACTCACCTTTGCAAGTTGCAGCAGACCAGGGCCACATTTTCTTCACATCTCCGGCATCGTTGATGGAGATATGCTGGTCTCTTGGCGCACTGCCAACCAAAAGCAAGCGCTTTGTTTCTGCAGAATATATTCATTTAATTTGGCTATGTAAACTTATAATTCTAAGTCAATTTAAGCAGTCAAGTAATTGCAGCTAGAAATTTCCTTTCAATCTATCTCAATCTTGTAGCGAAGCATCTTCCAGGAAAAGGGAATGCTTTGATTTCTTCATAATCCCTTGTTACGTTGAAAAATGAAGCACTAAATGTTTAAATTATAAACACAAATTCCTAAATTAAGAATGGAATACAATTACATAGACTAAAATAGAACAAACAAAAAACTCATAAAAAGAAAAACACTATTTCTCGTGGAAATGCAATGAATACTTATCCCCTTATACTAGTAAGTAGAGCTTTACCAAATTAGAAGAAAAATGCATTGACTTTATCATAATCCCATTCTTCTGCAGGAAGAATCAGGCATTGTCTGAAAACCATGCATGGATCGAACTAATGAAAATTTTAAAACCCCTCAATTCCTGGAAGAAATCCAGAAAAGTTCTTCCCCTCAAATATGTAGTTTAGCTAGAGAAAGAAAAATAACCCACTTAAGCGAGACCCACTTCAATTCAAGGTACATGCAAGGTAGCTACTTCTCGACGCTTTTGTTGGACAGCCATCATGATTGACGAGAGAGCGGAATGTTTGCTATACTGTAGAAAACAGGAGGAGGAAGAAGAAGAAGTTAACGAGGAGGAAACGGGGAGTCCCTGCCCTGTCCTGCAATTCTTTCGTCTTTCAACCCAAGGAGGTGTT